CAAATTCTTCAACAAATCAAATCACGTGGACAAGTATGCTGCCACATATGTGCCAAGTCAGCAGTGGGGTACCCATTATCAAGAGGATGGATGGAAGATGGATAGGTCTTGAAGATGACGTTTGTCTATTAGAATTTACAAATGGGCAAAAAAATGCTGATTTCCAAGAGTTCAGAGGTTATTTCCCACTTTTAGTTTCTTTCAAGAGATTATATGCCACAGAAGTGTGAGCTCAGGGGGCATTGTTTCTTTTTGGATGTTCATCAGGGCTGGAGTCATGTGTTCGAACCCCAGCCCATCTCCTGCCCCCACCTTTAGTTTAGAGAGAATTTGAAAATACTAGTTGTAATTGCTCCTCTTAAGGAAAAAAAAAAGAAAAAAAGAAAAGAGCCTGTGAGCAAAGGGACAAAGGTTTGGTCAAGGGATGAATGAAATGAAGAGCCATTCTGTAAGGCCAAAGGCAGATGGTTCAGGTCCAGTTAAGGTCAAGTCAGGTTAATCTTGGGCAAAAAGAGCACTAAAACTGCATCTGTTCTGAACCTTTTTAGCTTCTGATGGGTGAGTAGGTATCTGCTTCTGCTTGCTTTGCTCCAAAAAAGAGACTTTAGTTAGATATCCTATGTGCTTACAGAAAAGACTTGCATACATCAGTAATCAGTAGGGGCCTGAAACTAAAGCAACACTTTAATCCTCTACTCCTGCACACACACCTCTGCTCTGACACTGATTCTGACACTGATTCTGACACTTCTGTCTCATTATTTGTCAGTCACTATAATAAAGTATCTGACAGGATTCACCTTATGCTGGGTGAGGTCATGGTGAACAATAATTTTGTTAACCTATAAATTTTACTCATAACTTTTTTAAATAATATTTAAAAAAATTTATTTAAAAGCTAATTTTAGTTTACAATATAGTAAATATTAATTATTTTATTAATTATTAGTAATTTTAAACCATAGAAAAATAAATTTTGATAGATTTAATTACCATAATAAAATTAATGATTTCTATAACCATAGCCTATTTGTTGGAATCAAAGAATCTGTTCTGTGAGTCCATGCTATAAAAGACTAGGACCATCAAGTGAGAGGAATTTGCCCCCTTTTGATGGTAATTGTTGTCTAATTTAGATCGCAAAATAATTATATATATATGTAGTCTATTTGGAAAAAAAAAAAAAGGACTTTCATGATTGCAAAGCTCCTAACATTTGGAACTCAACAAAGATGAATGAGATGACTGTCTTACATATTAAGATAAACAGCAAAAAATTTCTCCTCCCTTTTGGTGAAGCATTAAGATTACTGTAAATGTACACATGGAGATTAGAGGGTAAATAGATTAACTATGGGAACACAAACATTTTCTATTAACAAGATTGTGATTAACTATTCTAATGTTAAAGGAAAAGTATGGAAAGATTATAGTTTCTTCCTCTTGTCTGATGTCATTCCTCATTGTCATCAACATCTCTGTTTGGTTTGTTGTTATCCTCCCTAATTTCTCCATCACTCAACTGCATCTCAGCAGAATTCTCTCTGACAGGGCTGTTGTTTGCGCCCCTCTTCACAGGTTCTTCATCGTCATCAGATTCTGACAATGCCTGCCTTCGTCGTGCTGCAGAAGTAGGTGCAGGCTGCACAAAGGAAAATGGAAGGTAACATCTCAAGTTCTCAGGGCACCATAAAATTTATGCTAATTAGTATTTAGAAATTAGAATGATTACTAATAGTAAGAAACCCAATGACCTATTCAAAACATTCCCACTTACGTTAGCTGCAAATTAATTGGTGGCATGTAGATACTGCGATGTTACTAGAAGTTTGCTAAATCATATGTATTAACTGGAAACATAAAACAACACAATAAAAGAAACAATATTAATATGGTATTACTACCTCATCCTCAGCATCTGAATCTTCCAGACCAGCTGCAGCAAGAATATCCTGAGCATTTCCTCCTGCATCATCATCCTGATCATTCAATTGGCTCATGGACTCCCTATAATTTGTGTCAGCATCTTCATCTTCTAGTTCTTCTTGATAATCTCCCATGTCATTTTCCTCCTCTTCCCTATCATAACGTGACCTTGAGTTCTTGTCCTTCTTTCTCCTCTTTCCACCCTTTCTTCTTCTCTTCTCACTATGCCCGCCATCTTCCTCATCCATTTCAGACCTTTCCCTCCGCTTAGAAGGTGCATTACTCCTCCATTGCTCCTGTAGATGATGAAAGACAAACAAACACTTAATACTAAAACCCAGATTATCATAGAACCAAGAATACATCTAACAGGCCTATATTGGCACAAACAGATACACAACTCTAAGGTCATGTTTGGTTAGTGGTAATAGCTTAGTTATTCCTAATTAGGTTAGTCCATGTAGATGCAATAAAACTCATGTGATCATTACCGTGTTTAGTTGCTAAAGCTTTATAAAAACGTAAACTCCTTTTTTAAAGAAAAAATTACTGACCAATCCGAAACACAAAAAAGAAACAGAAAAAGTTCTAAATGTTAGTCAACTCCTTTTCACATCTTTATCATTACCTTGTAATGATTTTGGAACATATAATGGAATTAGGAACCAAAATCTAGCAGCAAAATATCAGTAACCCTTACCTGTACACGCCTGAAATGCTCCTCCTCCTTCTGGAGCCTTTTCTGTTCGTCTTCTTGTTTTCTCCTCTCCAACTATTTTGCCACGGAGAAGAATAATATTAATAGCTATAAGTAATAGCAAGTCTTAGTTGATAATAACAATCTCCATCCCAAGTTACCAAAGAAATATAAACATAAAGCAAAGTCACGAATGCAGACCAGAAATTTTCTTTGCTCTTCAGCTTTACGGCGAGCTTCCTCAGCCAGTGCAAGTTGACGAGCAGCTTCTTGTTTCTGCCGGTTCTGCTGCTCTTCACGCTCAGCTGCTTCACGGTGGACTTTTGCAGCTTCAAGCAAGTGCTTACAATACTCAACATGGGTGTTTATCTTTTTCTCATCAAACCCATGAAGATGCAGATTGGAAGCAGCAGACAATTGACTGAATACACGAACAGCATTCTCTAGCTCTGCAACCGTTGAACGCACCTAACACCATCAAAACAAAAACTGAATGAGATAGAAACTAGGAAGACCAGAGGGCATATCAAACTGGATGTACTTAATGATAATATAGCAGTTAAATTGATTAAAGATGCAAACAAAGGATCACCAGATTGATTATCATGCAGCAAGACAACTTAAGAATGTAATAAATGATTGTTATCTACCTTGAATGAAGTCCAAATCAGCTATACATTTTTGACAGACTAGCCTCTATAACACAAAATATACCTTTCTCGTATATTTCAAAGCATTTATTTCTGTTCCACTGTAAACCAATGACTTCTACATATGAAGCAGTGTTTAAAGACTGCAATGCAGAAAACCTTTCATACACTCTACAGCCATTTCAGAAGTCAGAACAACAAATTGCTTATAAGAAAAAACAACAAAATGGTTTAAGCAATTTTTCTAGAAGGATTAGCATCACAGACTAAAGAGAATGTTGGGTAAACAAAAAAGAACCAACAGCAACAAGTCCATTAAACTAGAAGGCAAGTCAGATTTCGCATGCAACAAGAAAGAACCTCATCTGCTGTCCTCTTTGCCTTTTGTAGGGTTGATGCTGAGAACTTCTGCATTGCAACTCCTGCATCAAACCTTAATGTGTAATTTGATGGTGCCAAGTGGATGGCTCTTAGCAGAGTTTTCTTGCACTCTTGCCACTGTTCAGCTTCATAATGAGTACGAGCCAGATATAAGAGAATTTGAGAGTCTGTATTGTAATAAAACTTCCTCAAGCAATTTTGATACTGCAAGACAACAATTGTCATATATAGCTTGCATATGAAAGATATTAAAAAAGTAGAAAGAACATACTTCTATGAGAGATTAACTCACCATTTTCACAGCCAATGCAAAATTCCCTTGGGCAAAATAGACATGAGCCAAATTTATCCACACATCTGGCATTTGGACAAAAACACTCCCACTTGCAGCTTCTTGAACCTACAGAACATGAAACTGGATATCATCCTTTAAGTTCTCTCTCTCTCTCTCTCTCTCTTTGTTTTTTTTTGGGAGAATTAGAGGTATCCAGGCCTTTCGTCTGACTAATCCCATTGGTACTTGCAAACCACCCAACACACAAGTACCACATAAGGCTCCACCTTTAAGGGTTCCAAATGTGACCCATTGGTTGGAGAGATTTGAACCTGCATTCTCAGCATGGTTCAAATAACTCCTTAACCACTTGAGCCAACCCCAATGGGTGACAACCTTTAAGTTCTAATTTACATTTAACAAAGATAAGAGCAATTATCAGTTGATACCTGAGTAAAAATATCCTTAGAAACATCAAAGTGTCCTTTTTCTGCCAAGACAACTGCAGCACCATTAGCAGCATATAGATTAGATGTGTGCTGGACGAGGACCTACAGTGCAGATGGAAAAAAAAAAAATGGAACAAAAATGAAAGTTTGAGATCAAAGCATGTCATCAGAATATCAAGCATAGGCAAAATTCAAAGAACAAAACAAGATGAAAAGGAAATTAGAAGTTCACTATGTGCATATCTACAGTGCTAAGCTATCACAATTCTTTTGTTTTTTTTTTCCCCTCTCAACAAAAGGATCTGTTTGAAGATATATAATGCTGTGACAGAGAACCCCAGGTCTCATGCAATAGAATTGAAGAAAATGCAGTACATTTATTTTAAGGAATCTCTCCTGCACAACTAATAGTCGAAACTCTCACTTAAGAGAAAGAATCAGAAAATAAATAAAAGAAAACATACTTTTGTATAGAGTTCCTTGGCTTTTTCCAAATGTGTGGCTTCCAACTTTGGATTTCTTTTCTCATTTCGAACTGCTGCAAAGTAGTTCCAGTTCCCCTTACAAAGTCAAACAAACGTGTAAGGGGAATATTGTTGCGGTAACAGTAATGGCAATATAAATGCAAACCAAAACAAAGCACTAATATTTTTCTGCTATGCAAACCAGGTATGTGAAATTAAATTCCTGCAAATGCATTGTGAACAGTTTGGCAAAATATGAAGTACCAATGTTTAGTGAAATGATAACAAGACAACATAGAGGGGAAAAAAATAGAAAAAGAAGACTGCACAATGAATGCAAAACATTATACATACTAGAGAAAGAATAGCATAAGAATCCTTCCCATCTGTTGCATCACTAGCAGCACGCAAGGTTTCTTTTGCCTTAACCCAGTCATCATTTTTAAGCTCCAAGTCACCAAGCATGGATAATGCATTTGGGCATTTGTCATTCACCTTCAATGCCTCATTCACCTATTTTCAGAATAGCAATGCAATCATAATCAGAAAAACCAATATAATTAGAAACGAAATTAAGATGGAATGTAGAGTAATAACAACCAGTTCAATGCTTAATTGAAGATTATTTCGAGCTTTTGCAATAGCAGCAAGCCTCAGATAAGCATCTATGTAGTCTGGATACTGTCAAAAAAAAAAAAGAGGGCAGGTTAAAGAAAATCCAAGCATGCACACTCTTCTTTGAAATAAATGTAACTTAATTTTTAAAAAAAAAAAAAAAAAAGGAAAAGAGAGAATATTAACAACAACAAATGGGGATGGTTTACTAGCTATACTACCAGACGGGAATAATCCAATAAGCTAGACTTTCCCCGATAGATGGATCTCCTAAAATCAACTGTTTACAAAAATGCTATATTAACATTTTGTCAAGTCCAGCTTATCCAGATAGAATGCCCTTATGCTAGGTATTGAAGAATTTACAAAGAAAATATGACCTTGTACCTTGAACAGTATCAGGCGATAAAATAGGCAGGCAGCATCTGTGTTCTGTAACTGCTCCTGCAATCTGGCCAAGTTAAATAGTGCTGTGACTTTACTCCAAGGCAGTTCTACAGAATGACCTTCTTCTTCAAGTCGATGGAACAATTGCATGTCCTTGTAGTCAAGAATGGATGCACCGACACCAATTACATAAGGGTTCAGTTTATCATCACCAAGGAAAGTAAGCCAAATACCATCACCAAGGGCCTTCTTGAAACTTTGCAGTGCAAGCTGAAAAATAAAGAACACAATTTTGCATCAGAGGCAATAAATCTAATTTCCATGACAACCAGTGAATAACAACAACAACAACAACAACCACCAATATAAAATGCTATTTCCACAGTAAAGTGAAGACCTTAGAGATTAAAGAAAGCACGGACCTCGAACTCTTCCCTTTCAAAATGTAGAACACCAATGTTGTTGAGTACTTCTACTGGTACTGGTTGACATGCCTTCTCCATATGACTGCGGGCCTACAACAATATCTCAAGGTTATCAAAAATGAAAAATAATCACATAATTATACATACCATGTTCAAAATATCTCTACTAGTACGAACATCAAGAACTAGTAAGAAGCAACAAAAAAGGAAGTCCCTACTGTTTTGAAGGCATCAAGTGCTGCTCCAGCATCAGATGAAATTAACAGTTCTCCCAGATCAAGAAATGCCTATATAATAAGGTGGACAAGTTAAACAAATCATATAGGTTTCAAAGAAAAAAAATAGAAATCATATATGTGAACAATCTTCAGTGATTCATACTCACATGCATATCACTTGGACAATCTCATAATTATCAAATCACGTTAAAGAGGACCAACAGGTGAGAGCGTTTTATATCCTAAATCATACTACCCTCACAATCCTACCAATGGAATAACAATGAACAAGTAATGGAAATTTCCCAACAAAATAGGAGTACCTAGGAATCTCATCATAAGTGAAAGAAAAAGGAAGCATAAATTCAAGTACTTTAGGACATAAGAATGAAACAGTGTGCTACTTCTCAGAAGATGACACAAACCAAAGGCACCCCAGCTGTCAGTTCTTTAATGCACATCTCTATCACATTCTACCATGAAAACCAGATCCAGATATATGGAAGTAATCCATGTTCATGCCAATATTTACCATCTCAAGACAAGCATACACAACAAGATGGCAATCAAAATAGTTTAATATTGCAACTTACTAAACAAATTGAACAGAATATAAATTACCTGAGCATCACGTGGGTCAATTTTAGTAGCTTTTCTCATAAATTCCTGGGCCTTTTCTGTCAGGCCAAGCTGAACATATATGTGTCCAAGAGCCTACAAACCAAGAATATTCAGTCAAATTTGGGGAAAAATAAAGCAAATAAAAAAAATGTGAAACACCAATGTCAAAACCATTTTATTTATTCACCTTCAATGTCTCACAATTGTCAGGGTAAACCTCTAAAACTTTTTCAAAGTTTGAAAGCGCACTTTTAAAATCTCCTGACTTAAGTTTCACTTGGCCCAGACCTGTGACCAGACAACCAAAATTTTGCCATGAATTAACATGCCCATGAGAGAACAAATGATGAAGTAGCACACCCATAAAATACCAATGTTATAATCATCAAGACAAAAACATCATCCAATCCCCAGAGTCTAAAACTAAGCTCATTATTAAATTTTGGCAAATATTACAAACTCCAGTTACTTTCCCACTGTGGTCATTGAGCTCCCATTTAATAGCTGTGGCATTAATTGCCTTGTTTATCTTAATGCATTTCATCACAAAACATGAAATTATATGCTCATAAAGACAATCATGCC